AACGCTGCAACCATCATAACTGGGAGTCGGTTGCCAAGCGTCTGTTGATCACATGACCACGGGGATGCTCCAATGGTCACAAGTGTGAAAAACGATCCTAAGTCACTTCTTTGAGGGCCGCAACTTCGAGCGGTCATTAAACAAACTGTTATAAGTCAAGGGCTACCTGTGAGTTGATCAACCCCCTGAGTTAGGAAGCGATCAGAACCAGGTTTTCTGGGCCGGGCAAAACCTAGTGAGCTTTTAATTTTATTTTACTTTCTGGATTTGATTTGGAAACCGTCCACCTCCCTCAAGAGAGGAACTCTGTGGACGGGGTAGAAATAAAAGATTAAAACGGCATTTAAAATATAAAACGGAGTCCGGGGCGTTTAGAAAATCAACGTGGAAAGTCATTTAAAAGGGTGAAGTTGGCTTGAGGGGGTGAAGTTGGCTTGCTCCCCTTTTCCTTCTAACGCCCATCCTCATTTTTAAAAAAAATTTATTTTATTTTGCAGGAAATCTTTTTGGTGGCGGCCCCCTCCTCAATAACTATGCCCTGACATTGCTGGTGTTCTTCTTCCTACAGACACGCAGCCCCTCCGTCTTACCGACGGTTGCCCGGTTGAAGGATCTCACAGGTTAATATCTCTCCGTATGGCAGGGTTCCAGTTAACACACCCAGCGGAATCAAAACTCCAAGGCAGGCAAACATCTTAGCAGATAATCAGAGTTGGAAGGGACCTTGTAGGTCGTCTAGTCCAACCCCTCCGCCCAAGCGGAAGACCCTACACCATTTCTGACAAATCTCTTCAAGTGATGGTGCTCCCACAGTTTCCGAGGGCAACTTCTGTTCCATGGGTTGACTGCTCTCCCTGTCAGAAAGTTTCTCCTTATTTCCAGGTTGAATCTCTCCTTGTTCAGTTTCCATCCATAGTTCCTTGTTTGGCCTTTGGGTGCTTTGGAGAGTAGCTTCCTCCTCTCTGGGGCAGCCCCTCAAATATTGGAAGGCTGCTCTCCTGTCTCCCCTGGTCCTTCTCTTCACCAGACTAGCCAAACCCAGTTCCTGCAACCGTTCTTCCTATGTTTTAGCCTACAGTCCCCAGATCATCCCTAACCCTTGAAGATTTGAGACTTTGCAGACTTTTTTTTCATCCTTTTCCAATCTTTTTTTTCCTCTCTTCTCAGATGATGGAGAACTGACTGTGGTGGACGGTTGGGACTGCACTTTTCCTAAGGATCCGGCTTCGTTGCAACCCAGCGGGAACCCAGAAAGTTGTTGTGAGTTGCTACCAAGAGCTTTTAAGTTGCATGGGCTTTGTTTTTTTTTTTAAAAAAAAAAAAAACAGGCAGTCCCCAACTTGCGACGGCTCATTCTGCAATTCTTTGAATTGTGACGACACTGAACGAATGAGGGTTAGGACGAATCCTTGAACAATGTGACTTAGGGGTGTTTTTGATTCTAACCCCTCCCCCGAATCTCTTTTCACGGTGAGACGGGAGACGTATAAATGCCACTAATAAATAAATAAAGGTAATCCTCAAGTTATGACCGCCATTGGGGACAGAATTTCTGCTAGTAATTTCCATTGCTAATCGAGTCAGGAATGAAGTGAGTTATGCCATGATTTTATGACCATTCTCGCCCCAGTTGTTAAGCGAGTGGATCCAGTCATTAAGCAAATCCATCTTCCCTCTTTTGGCTTTGCTTTTTTGAAGCCGGCTGGGAAGATCATGGGATGTCCCGGGATACTTGAAACTATCGTAAACACATGTTGGTTGCATAGCAACCAAATTTTGATCACATGAATTTTGATACTACAACAGGTCGTAAGTGTGAAACCCTGCCTTAAGTCCCTTTTTCCGGGGCCGTTGTAACTTCAAACAATCTCTAAACAAAAGGTTGTAAGTTAAGGACTAGCTCTGAGGGTGCCTGACATGAATATGGTTGCACAATTTTACTTGGCATCCTTTCTGTCTGCTCTACCAAACCCTAAGGGTGTGATGGTGAACCTATGGCACACGTGCCACGGGTACATAGAGCCATTTGTGCCGGCAGACGAGCTGCAGACAAATTTACCTCACTGCGCATGCACGTGCCTCACAACTGATTTTCGATGGGTTGGGGCCTTTTTCGGCCTCCATGAGGCTTGAGGAAGGCTTCTGCAGGCTTTGCAGTCCGAAAACTAACCCCGTTTCATCACTTCCTGTTTTTCCGAAAATACCACAATTGACAAAACAGGCCTAATTTTCGGCCTGCAAAGCCTGCAGAAACCTTCCTCAAGCCTCTGGGAGGCCAAAAAAGGCCTCAAACCGGCTGAAAATCAGCTGTGAGGTGCATTGCAGGAAAGGGGGTGGAGGGATGGGGGTGGTGGGGATTGTGCGCGCATGCGTGGGGGTGCGCGCATTGCCTTCTGGGTGCTGGCACTGTGACCGTGGGCGTGCAAGCGCGCACACAATTTTTGGCACAGGAGCCCCAAAAGGTTACCCACCACTGCCCTAAGGGGATTAAACAAGCCACAATTAAACTGCCGTGTTCACTTGCTTAGAAAGCTAGAGTCACCCCGTCCTGGTTTAGCACAGAACAAGCTCCAAATCAGAGCTTAGCTAGGAAAAAAAACCAAAACACCTCACGTTCCTAAAGCTTGCTGTGTCTCCTTCGTTCCAGGCTGCCTTCTGGCTGAGTTTTTTCGCGTCTTCGAATGCTACAATTTCGCTGGCGGGGTCATCTCCCTCCGTGAGGGCCGGTCCCTTCCTCTCTCCGATTTCCTGTTATCCGACGCGGGTCAGAAATTCAAGGTGGGCCCCATCAACCTCCAGGATCCTTTTGAGCTGAGCCACAACGTGGCGGCCAACGTCAACGAAAAAACGGCTCTGCGTCTCCAGCGGAGCTGCCAGGACGCCGCCAAATATTGCCGCAGCTTGCAATACCAGCGTAAATCCACCAAGGGGAAGACCTGGGGACTGGTTCGTCTCTTCCAGCCCGGCAGCCCGCAAACAGCGGAACGGCTGGTCATCTTCCTCCCCTTAACGCCAGCCGCACCATCTCTGGGGTCCCACCCAGAGTTACGCCCGAGCAGGGATTGGCCCCAGCTCTCGTTCCAGAGAACATGCGCAGGCATTGCGTTTGTCCTGCAGCACGTGTTGAAATGCGGCTGCTCGGAGAAGCCGCAGGGATTCGGCGACGATTGGGAATCCCTCAGCAGCGATCCAGAGGAGGAGCCGCTGGAAAAGAAAACCGAACAATTGTCGGTGGGTTCCAAGCGATCCCTGAGCGTAGAAGATGCCACGTTGGGTTCTCCACCCGCAAAGAGGTCACGGTCGGAGTTTTCCCTCGCCGACGTGGAAAGTGTGGCTTGGGACTGTACCGTCTGGCACCGTGTCTGGTTAGGAAGACGCCGTGTCCGGCGACAATTCAGCGCGGAAGCGGATCCCAAAACATCCACTGATCCCTTAGAGCTGGAAGGCAAAGTGTCGGAGGCGATTTCCCAACAGGAGGGGGAAACCAGGCCCGTAGATCCCCTGTTTGGATTCACCGTTTGTGCCAGTATCAGAGAGGGGGTTTCTGGGGAGGACGACCCACAAATCAGCCTAAATTTCATCCCCAACCCTGAACAGGGAGCACTTTTCCAAGATTTTTTTCATTTCCTACAAGGTTTTCTACCCCGAATGGTCGAGCAGTACCTGATCACCAAGCCTTCAGACCTACCTACCTCAGAGGACAAATCTTCTCTAGAGGATGGCATTTGAAATTTCTTAAGACCCTGGCAGAATTCTGTATTTAGGTAATGTTTTTTTTTCATTCTGGCTGTTTACAAAAATAAAAGGAATGGGGAGAAAAATGGAAACCTGTTTCCTTGGTGTTTTGGATTCTTGAAGTTGATCCAGCCACGACACAACACTAGAATTGTTGGTCACCGATGATTGAATGAACCCTAATCGTGGGCTTTGGTCTTAAACAAACTAATGTCTTTTTTGTTTGTTTGTTTTTCTTCTCAAAATAATTTTATTGAATGCTAGTTTTACCCCTTTAAAACCACAGAGAAGGGAAAAGAAATTTAAAAAGGAGAATAAAAGAAAGAAGGGGAAGAAGAAGAAGAAAAAAGAAATATGACAGATAACAGTTCTTTGTATGTTTGCATGACCAAATATCAACCACACGAAGACGAGTAATGTGTAAAGCAGAACTTTGGTGCCCTCTGAGCTTTGGTGTTTTCTTACAGACATTTCATGACCCAACTGGGTAACATCATCAGTGCTAGAAGGGACATTTGCAACAAACCTCACTCCTTTCGAACACTGGTGATGTTACCTAGTTGGGTCATGAAACGTCTGCAAGACAACCACCAAGAGAGCAGCGAAGACCCCCTTATTTTTCTCTATCGCATGTTTGGCGTTTCACAGTTATGCAGTGGGGTTTGGGAGCACTCTGTACGTGCTTAGGGACACTGTCGTTTGGAGGAGGGCTTGCCAATCAAGGAAGTAGAAAGTCTCCACGCCCATCCAACCACCATCTTTTTCCACTACGCATGCGCGCCGTTGTCGAGTCTTCCCATCGCGCTTGCGTCACCGCTCCGGCCCTTCGCGCGCATTTCCCCCCCCCCCCCACACCCATTGGTATCATAGACATACGAAATAATAGAAAAAACCTTTGCAAGCAAATCCAACTTTTGGGCCCAAGTGAAAGTTTTACTATTTCATATCAAGGATGGCCGTTATTGCTCAATTTTTTACATTTCAGAGTCTGCCCGTTGCCTTCTTTTTCAGCACTTCCAACAGCAGGGAGTTGTGTGAATGAAATCCATGGCAAAATACCTCGAAAGTTCTCCTCGGTCTCCAACAGCTGGAAGATCCATGTCTTTCCTTTTCGTATGTCTATAGTTACATCCACCCACAAGCCTTCGCGCGGCTAAAGAATTCAACGAGGCTCTCTATTGGAGTGGGAGGAGCATTTCCCAGCGTGCCCCGCGGCTCCCGACTATTTAACTCTTTCGCAGCCGGTTCTTATTTCTTTTTCGAGACGTCCGCGGTGCAACCGGGCAGAGGTACGTGTTCTTAATCGGTCGCCATCCACGGCCTGCGGGAAGATCCGCTCCAGCCCAATTGGCCCGATCTCTTTCCAAGGATCCCCTCTTCCTAACTGAGGCACGATTGGGATCCACTAGATCGAAAAAAAGATCCCGCTCCGGGGTGGGAAAAATCAATGCACGCAGCAAAATAGGGATCTCTGCAAAGCAAAAGGAAGAAGGGATCGAAATGCTGCACGCGATTGCTTGCGAGCCTGGCTCTATTTTTAAAACAATATATGAACCATTTATGAAATGCATATTTTGTGCATATATATGAGGATTGTTTTTTTCCTGGGGAGGGAAGAGAGAAATGCAATTTAAAACAGGCAATTGAGCAAGAAATTCAGGTTTGGGAAGGGAGGCTTAAATTTAGATTTTTGGCTTTTGCAAAGTCTTTTTAAATTTTTGCAATGCATTTATTTGCAATTCTTTTTAAAAAGAGTTGCTGTAAAAGCTCACTTTAAAATAAAAAAAAAGTTGCTGTAAAAGCTCATTTTAAATTTGCCAGCCACGTCCAAGGGGGCTTTTTAATTATTTTTTTTTTAAAAAAAAAATCGGAGTCTTTCGGTGATGAAATTAACACAGACCTGTTCTGAACTGTGCTGTGAGGAATGCTTTTATTTTCTGAAAAGACTCCAGCCTCGGGTGGCTTAGTAAAACTTAGACTAACCCAGGTTAAATTATATTTATAACTCACTTTTATTTCTTTTCCTCAACAGGTTGGGCCAGTGGCATTCTGGAGCTCAGCAAACCAGGTGAGTTAGGCTTTTTTAAATATAGAAGTGCTTGGTGTTTAAACTTCATTTTAAAAAATGGGCAAAAATTCTACCACAAAGCCAACTGTTTTGCTGGTAGCATCAAGTTTGCTCTTTGCTGCAATATTTATTTGTAAATTTATATTGCTGACTGTTCGCACAAGGCGGCTATTAAAGACATGAGAAAGACTTGATTCACGAAATTCGCAAATGGAAAAGCCAGGCTTAGCTTGCGGTCATCAATAAATCTCAATTAAATTGATCAGTAAAAAAGGAAGAAATAGTTGGGGTGGTGGAATATATTTAATTTATATGTAGCCCATCTCAATATCCCAGAGGTAACTATGGGGCCTGCAGTGGAATAAATGTAGAATAAAAACAAATAGAAACCAAAAGAATATTGCATTTGAATTTGGTAAATTAGATATTTACGTCTCCGCTACTTGGTTTGAAGTTAGGAAAAGCTACAATGAAGAGATGCTGAACTCTCTCTTTCTGATGCTTCAATGGAGAATTGAAAGCCGTCTGAGTAGCGCCCCAAAAAGAAGAATTGACCAACTGAATTCTAAAAACTATTGTCTAATTTAAAAAAAAGCTTTTTGAGAGGTTTAGATGACAAGAGAAAAATAATAACTCATTTTTCCTTGGGTTTGTTTTGCAGCTACAAGCAGCACAGATGGTAAGTAGCTAAACCGTGCATGATGCTCGTTTAAAAATCACTTTAAAGTGGTTTTACTCTGCTACAGGTAGTCTTCGACTTGCGACCTCAGTTGAATCCCAAATCTCTGTTGCTAAGGAAGACAATGTTAAGCGAGTCGTGTCCCGTTTTACGACTTTTCTTGCTGCAGTGGTTAAAGTAAATCATTGCAGCTGTTAAATCAGCTTGGTTGCTAAGTGAAAGGTCGCAAAAGGGGATCACATTGACCCCTGGACACTGCAACCGTCATAAATATGAGTCAGCTGCCAAGCGTTTCACTTTTTGACCATGGGGATGTGTAATGGTTGTAAGTGTGAAATACGTTCATAAGTCACATTTTTTCCATGCCGTTGTAACTTTGAACGGTCACTAAATGGATGCTTGTACGTCGAGGACTGCCTGTGTGTGTTTTCCGGTTGGCTGCTGGCTTGCAAGTCTTTAAAAATCTGGATTACTTCCCTAAGACACTTAATCTTCCTGTGTTCCATGATGTGCATAAAACAGACAAGCATATATCTGATGATGGGTGATGTTCAGTTAACTGTCTGAGAACACACAAAATCCTGGTTTGTTGAGGCAATAAGCTTGGAGCTGGAGTGTATAATCTTAGAATTGTCTCTCTTTCCTTTTTCAGGGCACACACGGCTGTGAACCTGAAAATGTTGGCCAAAGGTTATGGATCTGTCAGAGGTGAGTTGGAAGGTTGTGGGTCCATTGTGCAAGATGCTGTAGTGTGATTGTTGGTGCTGGAAAGGATGACCTCTGTTGTTGGACGACTTTGAAGTCAAATGGCAATTGAGTTACCAAAGCCCTGATCGGCCAAGGCTTCTATCGCGCAAATGTTTTTCTTGCTTTTTCTTTTACTAATTTGGGTTCTCTTTTTCTATCCTACAGACAGATCCACCTGGAAGAAAGGTGAGTCCATATTTAAGACTCTTAGAATTGATTTTGGCCGGGCCTTTCAGCCTGAACAGGTTGTCTTCCGCTTACGGTGACGATCGAGCCCAAAATTTATGTTTCCAAGTGAGAGGTGCCTTAAGGTGAATCTTGCCCTGATACTATGATCTTTCTTGGCTCTGTTGTTAACTGAATCATTGCAGCTGCTGAGTTAGTTACGACGATAAAATGAATCTGATCTGGTCAGAAGGGCAAGCTGCAACCATCATAGATATGAGACTGTAGCCAAGCGCCTGAATTTTGATCACATAACTCGGGATACCACAATGATCTTTTAAGTGCGAAAAACAAAGTTGTAAGTCACTTTTTACAGTGCCGTTTTAACTTTGGTCAGTAAGCAAACAGTTGCAAGTCGGGGAGTACCAGTATATAGCCCCTGCCAGTTTGGAGAAGGCTGTGCTAACCATTTGTACCAGTTGGTGGCTTGACCAGGCTGGTGGAGAGAGGGGGAAACGCTGTTGTGTGAGCAGTGGGCCAATAACACTTGGCCAATAAAGAATTCTTATTTTTTTAAAAAATACATTAAAAGACAGGAGGCTATTAAAATCAGCGACTCCTTGTCCCAGTGATGAAAAACTATCACGTCTTACCGTCTGTCTAGTGCCAGAATCTGCAAAGGTTGAACCCACTGGTGCTAACAGATGGAAAAGAGGATAATTGGCTTCGGAAGGAGCTGTCTGATGGGACCAGGCGTTCTTAACACCTCTTTTTTTTTTATCCAAGAAATCCTCAGAGAATCATAAGAGTCCTGCTTTTACAATATCATGATTATTTCTTTCAACAGCTTCCAAAAGGAAACAAATCTGAAGTAATAGGAAGATTGCCTGTCCTGGTTGGCCAGAGTAAGTTTTGCAGCTACTCAATTCACAATTTTGTTGACCGGCCTGGTTCCCGCTGATATGATGAGCTGACACTTGGAATCTCGTTCGGCTGAATCACGCTGTTGAGAATCGGAATCTGAGCCTCAGTTGGGAACTAGGCCAGTCTGGGGTTGGGAGTGGGGGAGATCATTGCTGCCCCAAATATTTACCCCCTCCCCTCCTGCTTTCTTGAATCTCTTTAGAGATAAGACTTCAACTTCTGGGGGGGATAATCGGGGGGGATTCTGGGAGTTGAAGTCTACAAATCTTAAGGTTCTTAAGTTGGGAGATTTTTAAGTCCACAGATCTTAAGGTTGCTCTACAGCTTGTAAATTTGGAGTGAAAAAAGACCTGAGCCTTGTTTAGCAGGGTAACCCCAATTTAATTGTTAGATATTTCCTTGTTGGGGAAGAGATTTCCAGATTTTGAGGCTGGTGTTGAATTAAGTTTTTGAAGGCTCTGCTGGCAACGCAACAGGCTTCTATTAACTGATCAGTAACGACCAGAGTTTTACCTGGTTGGTGTATTTACATGTTCATGATAACATTCTATCCTACAGAATGGAGAATCCGGTCACAGAGTGTTCCTGAAAGGTGGAGAATGAACTGGTAAGAAACACCATGAGATAGCTTTAATCTATGGGTCAGCAAAACTTAAGGCCTGTGGGTCAAATCTGACCCAGTCACTGGCTGCTTTCATACAGCCCATGAGCTAGGAACAGCTGGTAGATATAGATCCCAGCCTCGGTCAGGTTTCCAGACCTGAAGGTTAGAACTTGAATAAAATTTACTGGTTAAATTTATTTCCCGCCAATCTTGCTGTGGGGCTAATCTATAGGCAGCTTACAGCAAAACTAGGGGAAAATGGCACTTGGAATAGACCTCAGGTGTGGGCTATTTTTCTATCTTTAGAGGTGGTATTCTTTGTTTAGCTTAAAATAAATCGGATATTTATAAGCTCTGTCTTTCACTATGGTTTACAAGTGATGTATGGAAAGGATCAAGTCCAGCTCAAACTAAAACGTTACACCCCAAGATGTCAAGGACAACTCTTAAGCTTTCCTGCCAGGGTAGCTTAATTCTTAATAGTTAAATAAAAAACGAGAATCTCAAAGCACACATCTCTGTTTAGAATTTCTTTTTTACACATAAAATGAGCATTCTCGTCCCTGCCCGTTGCAGTTTTGATGATGAATACAACTAGCTCACTTTGAACAAAATGAAACGTCAGGAACTGCCTGAAAAACTGCAAATGGCATGAATTTTATAAGATGGATTCCTGATGGGTTTCCATTGCCTTTTTTAAAAATTGATTTGTTAATGTTTGGTTGTGTACACACGTTGCTTTTTCTTTCTTTCCTCCTGCAGAAAATAACTTGCAAGGGACAGCCCAAAACATAGGTGAGTGGATTTTCCTGCCTACACAAGATAAGCCTCAACTTATGAGCAAAGTCCAAAATTTCTGTTGCTAAGTGAGACCCGAGTTTTTCCCCCTTTTTATGACCGTTCTTGGCACAGTGGTTAAGTGGCCCTGGGACATTGCAACTGTCATAAATCACGAGTCAGTTGCCAAGTTTCTGAGCTTTGATCATGTGATCCATGGAGATGCTGCAAGGGTCATAAGTGTGGGAAGTGGTCGTAAGTCACTTTTTCAGTGCTGCTGTAACTTTGTGAACAGCCAGGAAATGTACGGTTGTAAATAAAGGATTATCTGTAGACAAGATAAGTTTGCAATGTGAGACAAATCCACCTGGATACATACCTCTTGCTACATCACAGTCTGGTTCATTTTTGCCTTGGGGCAATTGTGGTTAGTAGTGTATTAAGCCGGGTTTTTGTGGTTTTTCTGATGCTTGTTGCAGCTGGCTCTCAATGATGAGATCTTTACCGCCCCAGTCTGATTTCCTGTGACTGAGTGGTCCCTCTGATTATCCAAAGCCAACTTTCCTCTACGTCAGCCTGGGAATTTATGGCTTGCCTGCCTTTTTCACATGTTGCCTTTTGTTTTCTTAAACTCCAATTTAATGCAAACTGGTCCTGCCATTCTTTCTCTTTGCGCAGATGGCTCCTAAGCTGTTTTGGCTCGACCTACAGAGCTTGAAATCTGCTATTTCCCACTGGAAGAGGTGAGAAGAGTCCATTTCTAACGCCATACATAATAGTACAAATGTTAAGGTTGTTTTTGTGGAAACAAGCTGCCAAGAAAAACGGATTGTAATCTCAGTTTTCTCAGATGGACAGGGATGTGTCTTGTGAAAAGAAAGTCTAGGGGTGACATAATAGCAGTGTTCCAATATTTGAGGGGCTGCCGTAAAGAGGAGGCGGTCAGCCTATTCTCCAAAGCACCTGAAGGCAGGACAAGAAGCAATGGATGGAAATTAATCAAGGAGAGAACCAACATGGAAGTTAGGAGACGTTTCCTGGCAATTAGAACAATCCGTGGAACAATTTGCTTTCAGAAGTTGTGGGTGCTCCATTTTAAGAAGAGATGGGACAACTATTTGAAATGGGTACAGGCTCTTCTGTTTTAGCAGGGGGTTAGATCTTCAAGTTACCTTCCAATTCTGTTATTCTTAGTTTCTGGTGTGTCATCCCCTCCTCAGTTCACACTTGGTACTCCAAAAAGCATATTCGTTCTCATTAACATATCCTTGAGATTCAACTTGTGTTGTAACTTACAGATTATTTCAGCAGCTCAATTTTCAATCTATGTCTTGTCTCCATAAAGGCAGGCTTAAATGTTTACTGTGAAGACATCTGAGAAGAATACAGGAGCTGTCACCATGTTCTCGAATCAAGAATTTGTGTGTCTTTGCTGGCTTTAATGGTGGAATAATGAAGAACTGAAATGGCTCCTTGCAGTATCCTTCTGCCTTCCAATACCTGTAACATCCGAAATTCAAGACTGGCTGGAGATATTTTTACTAGCTTTCCCAAAAAAAAAGAATATTCTGCACAAAGATGTGTGTTTTGGGGTTCTCTTTTTAAAAAAAAACTATTATAAATAGAAGAATTTGCTGATAGTTAGAAACTGGATGAAAGTTTTGAAATTTGGGAAAAAAAATATACCTAGAATTGTACAGGATTTTTTTCAATGTGTTAAAAAAGATTTGGTACCTATCAGAAAAAAATGTATTTAGCAATCTGTTCCGTGTATGGTAAATTTCTTTGAAATGTGTACAAATTTGCTGGTATTAATAAATACTCTGGTTGGAAACAATGCTGGAGTTGGTTTTCCTGATTAACTTGGTGAAACATGGATGGAGGGAGAGTTTGCTCAGATGGTGTTTTGTCTAATTGGGTAATAGTTATCTACTTCCTCACAACAATCTTGTGAGGTGGGTTGGGCTGAGAAGGACTGGCCGAAAGTCACCCAGCTGGCTAAAGTGGAACTAGAACTCGCCACCTTCCTAGTGATTGGTTGAAAGTCACCCAGCCAGCGTTAACGTCTGAAATGGGACTCCCAGTGCCCTGGTAATTGGCCCAAAGTCACCCAGCTGGCTTTCCTAACTATGTTCAGGATAAGCCAGAAAGATGAAAAAGGATTGAGTTACTTTATTTGTACTGAAATACGTTCCGTTCTTAATGCCCTTTCAGCGTGTGGCTTGGTATATTGGGTTCTATGACCCTTCCTGTTTTGGGAAAGGGACAATGGGCCTAGTAATAAGCTACAGCCCCCTGAAAAGGTCATTTGGTTGAGGGGAGAGGTCAACCAGGCACAACTGACATTTGTACAACGCTCATCTTGCACTCAAGCAATCGGTAAGTGACCCAAAGGTGCTTTTTCAGAGGCAAATGGACTTTCTAGTTTTTCTTTGAAGATGTTTACTGCATTCAGTTTTGGTCACCATGATGTAAAAAAAGATGTTGAGTGCAGAGAAGAGCAACAAAGATGATTAGGGGACTGGAGGCTAAAACATAGGAAGAATGGTTGCAGGAACTGCGCCAGGCTAGTTTAATGAAAAGAAGGGCGGTGGGGGGACATTATATTGGTCTTCCAATATTTGAGGGGCTGCCCCAAAGAAGGGAGTCAAGCTATTCTCCAAAGCACCTGAGGGCAGGACAAGAAGCAATGGATGGAAACTAAATCGAGGAGAGAAGCAACTTAGAACTAAGGAGAAATTTCCTGACAGAACAATTAGCCTGTGGAACAGCTTGCCTCCAGAAGTTTTGAATACTCCAACACTGGAAGTTTTTAAGAAGAGATTGGACAACACATTTGTCTGAAATGCTATGGGGTTTCCTGACTAAGCAGCGGGTTGGACTAGATGACCTCCAAGGTCCCCTCCAACTCTGCTCGTCCAAGAAGCTGCTTCAGCTCTGCTTTGAAAAAGCACCTTTTGGACAACCCTGACCTAGATGACTTGAGAATCTCCATAGAAAAGGGAGTTGTGTCCCATTTTGCAACCTCTCGCTACCATTGTTAAGTGAATCATTGTAGTTCTTAAGTAACAAGTGAATCTCGCTTCCTCCTTGACTGGTCAGAAGGTCGACCCCAGCACACGGCAACTGTTATAAGAGCTTGCCAGATGTCAAGCATCTAAATTTTTTGTCCTGAGATGACGGGGATGTTGCAAGGGTTGTAACTGAAAAAAAAAAAACAATTGCACATCACGTCGTTTTCTGTGTTGTAAATTTGAACAATCCCTAGACAAATCTTTGTAAGATGAAGACTACCCAAGCATGTTTTCACCCCTGGGAATGGGTGATTGGTCGGTCATGCAATGGATTGGTGAAGAAAAGAGGCCCTGGATGTTAGGTAGCCTCTACCATCCCTGTTGTAGCCACTTGTGGCTGCAGCTGTGTTCTGCACGGGCTTGCACAAAATGGCGGGATGATTGTTGCGTTCTTCTGCCGGACATGCAAAACGTCCATTGCAAGCTACACCTTATATAACTTGGCCGTGTCCCCAGCGGTCTTCTGCCTCGCTCCCTGCCTCCGATTCCCGCTCTGGTGCCTGGCATTCCAAAGCTGTTGATAGCTGCTGCTCTGGGCACCCTCCCAGCAGCTGGCGGGGGGCGAGGAATCCACACAGGCTGAGGCAACAGGTTCAGGCCTGTTGTGGCTGTGAGAACCAGCTCCTCGGCCTGCCCTGCATGCTCTTCCTCGACATGCTGGTTTCTGTCCTGAAAACTTGCAATGGGTCATTCTGGGCTGATCCTGGTCTTCTGGATCCTGGGCACGGCTCTTCTGGGCTACGTCGGAAGTCAGGAACTGGCGACAGAGGGACTGACCGGCGGGGAGCAGTGGGCGCTTTGCCCTGCCGATGACAGCCCAGCGGCCAGGCGGGAGGGACAGCTGCCGGGGCAGCCCAGATTTAGCAGCTGCATGCTGAGATGTACCTCCCACGCTTACGAAGCCTACATGGCAATGCTGGCGACTGGCGACTTCAAGAGCATGACGACATCGCTGAAAGTCAACGAAGGCAGGCAAGGTAAGCGGGAGGGCCGTGGGACGGGTGCCAGGCTCCGACTGGATGCCAGCTGTGCAACCAATCAGACCCAAGCAGGGGATGGGCTTTGGAGACTCCGCCCTGGAGCCCCTGGCAGCTGGGCAACAGCTGTTGGGGCCATTCACAGCAGTTCCTGAAGGTGGGGTGTTTTGAAAGAGGAGGGGGTTTGCAATCCATTTCCCATGGAATTTTTTTTGTCCCACATAAAACCGTTGGTCGTTTGTATCCCCAACTATATCTGAAGTTAAAGCTTCTAGGTTAAAATCGGCTAGGAATGGCGGGGCAAGCGGGAAACATCGTGGAGGAAATTGAAGCATGTTTTATGCAACTGTTCAAAGTCCAGTGTTTTAACTTAGGAGAAATCTGCAGTTTTTAAAACTACGACAAACTGGGTTTCCGTTACTTGCAGCCAAATTCTAGTGGTGTGAGTTAGATCAGGGAGAAAGGAAAGCTCGGTGTTTTATTATTTTTTTTTACTTTATATTTTGTAGTCTACATGAAAGGAAAGGAATAGATAAAAGGAAAAGATAAAAGGAAAAAAAAGGAAAAGGAAGGGAAACCAAGATAACAAGAAGGAAATGAAACAATAGCATATAAATAGTGTATATTATTAATATAAATATACACTTTATATGCTATTGTTTCATTTCCTTCTTGTTATCTTGGTTTCCCTTCCTTTTCCTTTTTTTCCCTTTTATCTTTTCCTTTTATCTATTCCTTTCCTTTCATGTTTTCCTTCCCTTCCGTTCTTTTTTTATCCTCCACTTTCCCCCTCTCCCTTCCCCTTCCCTCTCCTCTGCTTATTGTATCTATGCGACTCTGTGCTGTTTTACAACATACTGCCTCTCTTCTTCTCACAGGGCCAGAGCACAAATTCTGCTGGATGCTCCATCTCCGTTGCCAGAGAGGCGTCCGTCTCACCAAAGCTTTCGTCCTGTTGAACTTGGAACAGCCTCTAGATCAGAGCTGGCCTTTTCCTCTCCGCCTCCTCCTCTCTGCTCCCTCTTGGCCCCAATCCCTCTTGCAACCTCGGTCCAAGAGACGAGACACTCGGTTGCTGAACGGGGACGCTTGCGGTGTCCGTTTTGATGTGACGGAGCCCTTCCGCAATGCCGAAGGAGGCCGAGATGACGAAATGTGTGTGAAAGTTGTGTGTCCGGAGGGAGACACCTGCGAGGACCTGCAGTTGAGTCTGCGTTGCCCACCCTTCCTGGCCACTCTGTGGCGCAGCCTGCCTCGTCCTGATGGCTAAACAGGTGGAAGGTTTCTTCTGCAAGGTTACCAGGGGGAAGAGAAGAGCTCCACGCTTCCCCTTGTGCACACACACTCAAGTTCAGCTGCTGAGACAATCTTCAGACTAGATTCCCTGCAGGATTCATTTTTATTTGGCAATGTTTACATTTTCAAGCGGGACATAGGATAAGTTGCAAGCGTGTGCAGGCCACAGCTGCACACATTCAGTCATGCGTCAATGCTATGCTGGACAGAAATGATGGGAAGTTAATTTTCACTCTGAGAATGAACCACGGCAAAAAATTAACATGCCTCCTTCCCTTTTCACATTAGTATTCTAGTCAGATTTATTAAAATGCAAGTAGCCCTTTACTTATTTTAGTTCATTTAGTGACCGTTCAAAGTTACAATGGCACTGAACAAAGGGACGTGTGACTGTTTATCACACTTACGACCATTGTAGCATCCCCATGGTCTTGTGATCAAAATTTGAAAACTTGGCAACTGACTCGTATTTATGACAGTTGCAATGTCCAGTGGAGTCAAGTGATTCCCTTTTATGACCTGATAGGCCAAGTCAGTGGGAAGCTAGATTCACTTAACTGTGTTACTAACCTAGCAGCTGCGATGATTCACTTAACCATGGCAAGGAAGTTCGTATAATGAGGCAAAACTCAATTTAGCAAATGTTGGGCTCAATTATGGTGGTAAGTCGAGGGCTACTTGTAATGAAATGGGGCTGATTTGGAGTCATGTTACAAAGTTGAAGATGCCAGGTTTTGCAAATGTCAAGTGATTACCTAGCCTGCTAAATGAAGATATTTCAACTAGCAAAAACAATACAATGTTTTGAAGACCTGTTCTCTCTCTCTTTTACCTGAGATTTTATTTTTCCTGCTCTTCTGCTTGACAGGATGTTCCTAATTTCTGCAGAATCACGATCTCATTACAGGCTGGATGTTCTCTCCATTGTGCTGTTATTTTTATCTTGGCTGTTGGGATTAAGCATAAGAAAAACATGTTGGACAGCGCATCACCATTCTAGGACAGATTTTGCTAGACTTTAAAATTTCCTTGAAAGCAATACCAATCTTCTGAAAAGGTTTGGAAAAACTCTGAAATCAGATTTCTGTGTTTCCTTATCAAATGTAACCTTAAACGTTGTGGGCTGTGTGGTCTGTTATTCATTGTCTCTATCCATTCCTTCGTTTATCTATAAAGTTTTCCTTGTCTGTTTTTGGAGGTCTATATTTTTGGGTAAAGACATCCATTGTAGATTCATTCAAGCTATCTAAAATGTTGGGAAGTAAGGGAATCAAAAGAAAATTTGGTGCCATGTTGTTGGGGGCTTGTGAAATAAAGTAAGTCTCTGCTGAAATCTCTGTTATGCTTATTTCTGATCAGTGGGATTTTTTAAAAAAAAGAACAAGATTATCTTCTTACTTTACTTTAAATCCTTCTTTGGCATTAAGGAACAGACAAAAGAGAGAGAAAAAGCAGAAGACTGGATGAAAAAACAAGGAAGGGACTTTATTGTTCCAGTTCTAATGACTTATAAGCATTATTTATTTCTAAGCGGCAGTTTGGTTTAGTAGTTAAAGCACTAGCCTAGAAAAAAGGAGATAGTTGTAGTTCTGCCATAGGCATGAAAGTTGGCTGGAGACTTTGGACCAGTCTTTCACTCTCAGCCCAAGTCTACAGGGTTGTTATGAGGAAAATAGAAGGAGGAGGAAGTATATGTTCACCACCTTGACTTATTTATAAAAATAATATAGGCAGGATAAAAAAAAAGTAGATAAATTAACCAGCTACCTCTTCAAAAAAAAATCAAATGAACCGCTTTTAATTATCCTTGCAAATACTTTATTTTTCCCTGTACCCAAAGTGGCAGGACCGTCTGAAGAGGGGGAAAGGAGCGCGAGGGGGACGTTTTTGATTGACGCACGCAAGCGGCGCGTGAGCCAATCAAAAGCACGGGCGCACGGGCCGGTCCGTTACTTTAATCGTTCCGGCCCGGAAACATCCGCAAAAGCCTGCGGAGCGGAGACAGACATGGCGTCTCCGGCGCGGGGCGGCCACGTGTGGGTGGGGTCCGAAACGGGGATTTTGAAAGGTAACGAGGACTTGCCGCGTGTTGGGGTGAATTTTGAATGGAGGGTTTAGGGATGGAAGAAGCCAGGAAAGGTCGGGGAAGCCGGGGGTGGGTGGAGGGGAGAAACAGCTGCTTCTGAATGTACATGGTGCCTCTGGGCATGTCTAGAGTGAGAAGGGAAATAGGCGAGCGGAGAATGGAGAGGGCAAAGTGGAGGGAAGCGAAATCTCAGCTTCACTTGCTGTATCCATATTGACTGATTGACTGGGAAGCTAAAAGCCACTTTCTAAACCTCTAGGCGAGATGGGGCATATAATTTAATAGTATATTATATAGTATTATATGTGTGTGTGTGTACGTGTATGTATGTGTATATGTTTGTATGTATACACACACACACTTTCTAAATCTCTAGGTGAGATTGGGCATATAATTTAGTAGTATATTATATGTATTATAAATCATATATACATACCCACACCATTATTACTGTTGTTCTTATCATCATCATTATTATTTAAATAAAAATAAAACCGGAGCTGAAGGGACCACTTGGTCCATCATCCAACATCATCATCATTATTTAAAGAATAATAAAGCCAGAGCTTGGTCCATCATCCAGCAACATTGTCGTTTGAGGCAATATCAGACCTTTGATATTCTCCTTTATTGTCTCTTGCTGGGAGGTTTAGGGGAGGGGGGAAATAGGCTATTATATTCTTTTTCTTACTCTTTTTCCTGTCATATGATGTCCCTTTTTCCACTTTCAGGGGTCAACCTGCAGAAGAAACAGGCCACGAATTATAGGATGGGAGAAACAACGCTCAGTCGACAAGAAGCTGTCACTGCCATGTGTTGGGGAGATTCGTATGAATCGGAGGTGATGTGATCTGCCCATTCTGCTTGTTCTTTGCCAGCTTCATCCAGACTTTTGACAAGGGACGAGGGCCCTTCGCTTCATCGCTCTGGCCATTGTTGTATTTAATTGATTTGATTGTAATGTCTTTCTTTGACTCTTATGAGCTGCCCAGAGTCAGAGTCAGATGGGATACAGCAGGGGTCTTCAAACTGGGCAGCTTTAAGACTTGTGGACTTCAACTGCTAGAATTCTTCCTCCAGTCATATTAGCTCAGGAATTCTGGGAGTTGAAGTCTACAAGTCTTAAACTTGCCAAGTTTGAAGACCTTCGGGATACAGGCTTACTAATTATTTATACTTCGTCTTTGACTTACCACAGTCCATTTAGTGACCATACAAAGCTACAACAGTAAGTGAAAAAAAAATGACTTATGATTGGTTTTTTTTTTTAACACATACAACCGTTGTGGTTACGTGATCAAAATTCGGACCCTTGGCAACTGACTCATATATATGACGGTCGCAGTGTCCCAGGGTCACATGATCCCTTTTGCAACCTTCTAACCAGCAAAGTCAATCGGGAAGCCAGATTCACTTAACAACCGTATTACTAATCTTAACAACTGCCCTGATTCACACTGTGGCCAAAAAGGTCGTAAAATGTTTTTTACATTTTTGCATTTAAAAAATGGTCTTAAAATTATTGCGGGTAGTCCTCGTCTTATAACCACAATGGAGCTCCAAAGTTGTGTTGCTCAGACAGTTAAGTGAATTTTGCCCCATTTTATGACCTTTTTCACCACAGCTATTAAGTGAATCACCACAATTGTTAAATGAGCAAAACGGTTAAGTGACTCACGTAACTATGAGGATGCTGCAATGGGGTCATAAGTGTGAAAAATGCTCATAAATCACTTTTTTTAGTGCTGTTGTCCCTTTGGTCACTAAATGAAAAGTTGAAAGTCGAGGACTGCCTGTATTTCCTCCTTCCTCTTGTAGCTTACCGAAATCATTTTAATTCAAAATGTGAAGGGTTGAGCCTGTGACCCTTGCCTGAACTATCTGAGAAATGTTAACCCTGAAGATCCATAACTGGCCTAATGAATCCTGTGGCTTTCTTTTTTTCCACACAGATCTTTGTGGGATGTTTCGATGGATCCGTCAGATTATTCAGTACGGAAAAGGGCAAGTTTATCGAATCACAAGACTGCCATGGAGGTGAAGGACCCTTTTGTGGCTTAGCTGTCCTTGATGGGTAAGTCTCCCATTTCATTTTTCCCGTCTTGGAAAAAAATGGCAGTTTTTTTTCCCTTTTCCTACTTGAGATAAGAAAGAGATGAAAACAAACCTTGAATAGGCGTTGCACAATTATAAAGACTTTTGCACACTTGCCCTCCAAACCTATTCTTGCCCAATGTCAGCCTTCAAGAATCCTCCTTCTGCTTATCTTTCTGGCTGCAATAAAAAAAACGGGAGGGAAGGGAGGGGAAGAGTGCTGGAGGCTTGAGATGGTGAAATGTAAAACTTGGAAAAACTTACTTGACTATGCTTCCTTGTTTACTGCGCAGCTGTAGCCTTTCATCTATCCAGGTCAAGGTCACCCATCCTGGTGTGCCAGATGTCTCAAACACCACTTGAAGATGCCCCACATGATATTACATCTCAGATTGGGTGGCCAGTTTGAGTTATTGGGATTGGGAACATTGGCATAACTTTCTATATGGGATTTTCACGCCTGTTGTCTCAGATCTTGAATTCTTCTGATGCTACCACTTCAGTTTTCAGTAAAAATCCTTTTCTCTAAAGCATTGGAGTCTAAGGTTTCCTTTGTTTTGAATGGAGCCTCACCTGGCACCCACACAGTTAATGTGCCACTGCTGTTTTGGTAAGCTCTGTTCTTGACTTGCAGCCATTCCTTTAGTGATCTTTCAAAGTTATGACCGTGTTCCACCCTTACAACAGTTGTGGCAATCCCGTGGTCGCCTGATCAAAATCCGGACACTTATGCGATCAAAATTCAGACGCATGGCAACTGACTCATATTTATGACAGTTGTAGTGTCCCGGGGCCACATGATCCCCTTTTGCGACCTGACAGAGTCAATGGGAAAGCCAGATTCAGTTAACGACCGGGTTACTAACTTAACAATTGCAGTGTTGTTATAACCACCCCCCAAAAAACCTTAATTGAAACAAAAATAAAATAAAATTTGTATCCTTAAACCACACCATGCCAATCTTGGCACCAGGACCTCGGGAAGAAACCACTTATTTGCTTTCTTGAAGTCTCCTTTCTCTATTTTTATATCTAAAAATATTTTTCTGCCTTTGTTTTTCTTTCTTTGCTCCTTGCAGTTCCCTTGTCACCTGTGTGGAGTCTGGGTTGATGAAAATCTGGCGGGATTCCCCCTCGGAGAACGTAAGTGTTGCCTTGTATTCGTTGTGAGGCCAGAGGGAAATTTAAGATGGTTTGTCTCTTTGTTAGTACTGTTGAATAGCTCTAATGTTTTTGCCTCAATGGATGACATTTGTGTGGGGTGGTTATAGAGGAGGCATATGTCTGTAATTTTGTGTTGGTGAAGAAATTGACTCGGCATAAATTAACTGTTTTAACTAAATCTTTGCTAATTAGAAAACCAGAAAGCATATGTAAGCACTCTTCCTAAACAATACATTGTATTTATTCATATCCCACCTTTGTTATTTTTTTATAAATAACAAGGTGGTGAATATACATACCTCCTCCGATTTCCACACAACAACAACCCTGTGAGGTGTGGTAAGCAAAGAGAGAGAAAGAGAGACTGGCTCAAAGTCACTCAGCCGGCTTTCACGGCAAAAGTAGGATTTGAACTCACCACTTCCTGGTTTCTAGCCTGGTACCTTAAACCAAGAGAACAAACTAGCTGTTGATTAAAAAGCGTAAGATAGAAACATCGACTTGCTAGGCAGAAAAAGAACTTATCCAAAAAAGAACATTTTTTAAATTCCTTTTTTCTCCCCGTAGACCAATACTTCCCAAACTAGAGTAAACTATCTCAAATTTGAGCAAAAATATATTTTTTCTTTCAGTAACAACATACAAACCCATTCATGGTATATTTTTTCTCTTCCTACTCTTTTTTTTTTTCATTCCTTTGTATTAGTTTTTTTTTCATTATTATTGCCAGTAGAATAGTTAATAAAATCATCTTTTTCCCCAAAAAAAGAAAGGAAGTGGCTGAATTCATCATTGCTCACCAAATTCTCCTTCTGGCAGGTGGAGATTCAGGTGGGGCCCGGCGTGTGCCGCATGAGGCAGAATTCCCAGCAGCGTCACCGTATCGCCACAGGGGGGAAAGAGAATTGTCTGAAAATATGGGACCTGCACCAGCCTCAGGAACCGGTTTTTCGAGCCAAAAATGTGAGTAGCTTATTGGCCTGTCGGGATTTGTGTTTGCACATGCCTGGTTCATTGCCTTGGGTTTGCAGTTTTGGATTCAAGAGGCTCCTTCCTGCATTCACATGATTTCTTTATACCTGTCACAGGTGCGTCACGATTGGCTTGACCTGAGGGTACCTATCTGGGTCCGGGACATGGAATTCCTGCCTGGATCAGAGAAGATTGTGACTTGCACCGGACATCATCAGGTAGAAGCTGGTGAAGATATGTGAGATTTTCAGTCGCTAAAAGCAGTGTCTCAGTTGGGTTTGGCTAATAATAACTGCCACCTAGCATTGCTCTTGAAAGTGGTTTAGAACAATTTAATGTTTAGAACTATGTCTTTTCAAAATATGGGAGTGAGAGGTTAAATAGTGCAAAGGAAAAGAAATACAGGAAGGAAAAGAAGGGGGGAAGAGAAGAAGAGGAAGGAAGGAATGGACGAGAGGAAGGAAGGAAGGAATGAGAAGAGGAAGGAAGAGAAGGAAGGAAGGGATGAGAGGAAGGAAAGAAGGAATGTGTGAGAAGAGGAAGGAAGGAAAGAAGAAAAGGAGAGGGAGGAACAGAATGAGGAAGGAATGGATTAGAAGAAGGAAGAGAAGGAAGGAAGGAAAAGGGGAGGAGGAAGGAAGGAATGGATGGAAAGATGAAGAAAGGAAGGAAAAAAGGGACGGAGGAAAGAAGAAAGGGAAGTAATGAGGAAAATGGAGAGGAACACCCCCTCTTCATTAAGGTATTTCTTTAATTTTATTTCCTCCTATCCTGCTTTTTGTGTAAGAATTGGGCCTGATTCTCTTGACCTTCTGCATCTAGGTCCGGATTTACGATCCCAGCTGTCCCCAACGCCGTCCCGTCTTGGAGGTGACCTTCGGCGAGTACCCACTTACGGCTCTCTCGCTCACCTCCGATGCAAAGTGAGTCTCTCTCTCTCTCTTTCCCTGAAACGGAGAAGCTTTTGGAGAAATAAATTATACAAGTAGGGGCAGGTGTTTCTTCTGGAATGGAACTCTGCTTTGTAAAAACCATAAGAAAATGTGAATGAAAAATGTGCACATTTTCTAAAAAAAATAAATAAAAATAGAATGCCAAATATAAGATACCGTGGAATTTCAAATGGAATCATCCTCTTAATAATCCCTTGCAGGTTGGAGTCTGGGCAACTGAAATTGAGCTAGCAGAGTGTTTTAATGGCCAGATGCTCTTCCCGTCACCAATGTGGAGTTTTGTTCCTCAGATATATTCTTAGTGTGCCCAGAGAGAGAAATCTCTCTCTGTGTGTGTGTGCTTGCATGGAGATAACCGTTTGCTTCCTTGTTAGATTTTCTATTGCAAACCAAGATTTTTTTAAAAAACACATAAATTCTATTTTTTCCTCCCCAGTGCTGCTGTTGTTGGCAGTTCCCACGGAGACGTTGCGGTGATAGATCTACGGCAAGGTATAAGTGGAGAATCAAAAATAGGGTTGACTTCAAAAGACTTCAAAAGATAATTTGGAGAATGAAAGCAGGCTGTGTTTTCTATGCACCATTCCCACGGAGTTTTCTTTAACAAGATTTATGAAGAACACATAGATGGCACAACAACAATTCTGTTTTGGATTGAGAATGGAACAATTTTAGGCCCAGGTTTGGGTCGTACTATCTTTATTTTGCTTTAGTAACTGGTCTTGTTATTTTGTAGATTATATTTTTGACTTTAATCTTTTGTGTATTGGTCAGAAATCCTGCTGTGAGGCAGGTACAACCCTAAAACCATCAAAATTTCTACCTTACCTGCCCGAGGGCTAAACGCTTGATCAATAATTTAACTGAGTCATGCAATTGTAAATCATAGAGCCTTTGGTTCTCTTGGTGCTGTTTGCTTGCAGATTTTTCATTACCCAACTAAGGAACATCATCAGCAAGAGGGAGTGTGGGGCTTGCTCCCTGTTTGTATACAGCAGCTTGCCGTGCCAATATGGGTGGGATTGTGGTTTTCCCCTTGATAATACCTTGATTGGGGCATTGGTTTTCTGCTTGATTGTTTGTCTGGTGTTAATCCCTGCTTATCTGGGTGTGGAGGAGGTGTTCTGGCCTTGTTGTTTCCTTCCTAGCTTGCTTATTGACTTTCCAAAGGGGTGTCAATGTTGTTTACCCCTCTGTGCCTGTTGATAGTTCAGTTGGCCTTGGGTGCCAAGATTCCAGAAATTCCTAAATTTTGATTTAGAGTTTCCCACTTGAAATATGGCTGACGGAGTCGGTCTTATCGCATGTATTTTTGTGGGAAGATGTGGGATTTTTGTGAGAAGATGTCCTTGTGACTCAACCTTGGAATCTCTCTGCCACAGGGCGTTTGGTGAAGTGCCTCAAGGGTTTTGCCGGCAGCGTCCGCGCCATCCAGTGTCACCCTACGCTTCCTGTGGTTGCCTCGTGTGGATTGGACCGTTTCCTTCGGGTACACAACCTCCAAAGCCAGCGTTTAGAACATAAGGTAAAGGACACAGAATCTGGAGTTTATAATCAGAATACAGCTGCTCAAGCAGGAAACGCTATATTATTTCAGTTGTGACTGTTCAGTCTCTTCTTAAAATCCTCCAGTGACGAATCACCCACAACTTACAGAGGCAAGCAGTTCCGCTGGTTAATTGTCCCGACTGTTAGGAAATTTCTTTTTAATTCTGGCTTTCTTTTTTTTTTTCTTTGATTAGTTTCCATCTATTGTTTCTTGTTCTGCTTTGGAAAATAAATTGACCCCCTCTGCTTTGTGTTAGCCCCTCAAATACTGGAATACCGCTGATCATACCTCCCCTAGTCCTTTTCTCTAGACGTCGCATGCGCAAATCCTGCAACCATTCTTCGTATGTTTTAGTCTCCAGGCTTTCTTGGCTCTTCTCTGAACTTTTTCCCAAGTCTCAACATCTTTTTTGTAACCTGGTGTCCAAAACTGAGTGCGGTATTCCAGGCACGGCCTTACGAAAACTTTTTAAAGCTGTCCTAATACTTCACGTGACTTTGATTATTTGCCTCGGTTTATACAACTCAACAGCTCGCGCGCACGACTGGCTTGTGTTCAAATGATCGTCCACTAGGGCTCCCAAGGTCCAGCTCACTCCAAATGATTGGGGGGGGTGGCCGAGCCTGTGTGAGCTGCAGGTTTCCTCACTTTCTCTCTAATCAAGTTGGATCTGGATCTCCAAGAAAGCTTGACCCAAGATACAGGAAATCCTCGATTTAAGGTATTCCCCTTTTTTAAAAAACATTTCTTACTGCATCTGTCTTGATTCCAGGTTTATCTGAAATCCCGACTGAACTGCCTCTTGCTGGCCAGCAGGGAAAAATGGGAGGTGAGTTACCATGAGCTTGGTACGTGTCTCTTGTGTGTTTGTCGTTGTGCGTGTGTATACGGCTATCATAACTTTGAAAACGGGTCATAAGTCGCTTTGGGGGAGTCCGCCATAACTTTTGAGGGATTGTTAAACGAATGGTCGTAAGATGAACTGCACTGTTGTTCCCAGTCAACCTATGAGGCTGACAGGAGATTTGGATAGAGGTAAAAGGTAAAAGGTTCCCCTCGCACATTCATGCTAGTCGTTGCCGGCTCTAGGGGACAGTGCTCATCTCCGTTGCAAAGCCGAAGAGCCAGTGCTGTCCGAAGATGTCTCTGTGGTCATGTGGCTGGTGTAACCTAAACGCCGAAGGCACATAAAACACTGTTCCTTTCCCACCAAAGTGGTTACAGGGGTGGTATTCAGCGGGTTCTGACCAGTTCTGGAGAACTGGCAGTGGAAATTTTGAATAGTTCGGAGAACCGGCCAATCCCACCTCTAACTGGCCCCGCCAACCCCATCTATACTCTGCCTCCCAGTGAGTCCCAGTTGATCGGCTGGGTTTTCTTGGGTTGCCCTGCACAGGAGAACCGAGCTGGAAAGCAGGTCAGTGGCGTGGGGAGGGAATGGGGATTTTGCAGTATCCTTTCCCCTGCCACACCAACCAAGCCGTGCCCCACAGAACCGGTAGTTAAAAAAAAAAAATTGAAATCTGAAGTGGTCCCGATTTTTCTACTTGCATTTGTTTTACGTGTTTTCGAACTGCTAGGTTGGCAGAAGCTGGGGCGAGGAACGGGAGGTCGCTCCGTGACACGGCCATGCTAGGGATTCGAACCGCTGAACTGCCAACCTTTCTGATTGACAATCTCCCCCCTCCGCCCCCCCCAATTCCCCTCCCGGATCCATTTCTCTCTCTATTTTTTGCAGAGTGAGGACTTCGAGCCGTCCATTAACCTGCAGGATGAGGTGAAAGAGGAAGACGACGAATTATGGAACTCCATGGAAGTGGTGGCTTCCAAGCGGAAAATCGATCAGGATCTTGGCTCCCAGACGGGGAATCCAAAACTCCCCAAGGACCCGACCGTCAAGAATCAGAAGAAGATGAAAAAGACTAAATTATGTTCGCGGTGAGAGGTATAGTCTCCACCTTTTTGATCCAAAGCTGGCAAGCTCTCATCTCGTGGGTTTCTTTAACGTCCGGACACGCCTTTGAGAAGTGTCTTTGGTGCGTTGATTGGGAGGGGAGGTCAATGAAGACAGGCTGCCCCATTCCCGTGGGGAAAAGATTATTTAAGCCCTTGGCTGCGAGTTCTGATACTGCCAAAGCAGGAATGAGCACACACAGTTCCTGTACAACAGGGACCGCCAGCCTTTTGGACCTCAGGAACCACCACATTCATAATTTTAAATCCCGCAGACCAGAGACCATGGGAAAATCCCCCAAAAGTCTGCAGGAAAATTCCCCAATTTCCTACCGATCGGTCGTTCTTTATTTGGGATCATCTCCAGCTCCGTTCTCAGGGGGAAGAGAGAGAGAGAAAGGGAGAGACTTTTGGCTTCATGCAAGGAAAGCAGCAGAAGCTGCAGAAGTCTTACTTTCTCTTTCCCAAACTCTGCCAGAAGCGAGTCTTTGCCGGCGCAGCCTCTTGGAGCAGGAGGCCTTGCAGGGTCCCAAAGACTCATTTCTGGCGGAGTTTGGGGGAGAGAAAAAAAGACTTCTGCTGCTTTCCTTGTGTGCAGCCAAAAGCAGAAGAAGGAAGAAGTGGAAAGAAGCAGTCCGGTGGCCAGGCCAGGCGCGTGGGGCAAGTTTACTCCCTCTGCCCTTAACCCCTTCCTCTCAACTACCTCGTGTTGTGCGTAATGCAAGGGACGCAAGCCTTGTGTTCCCGCGGCCCATTTGGGCGGTGCAGCCTTGTGTTCCCACGCAGCCTGGATTAATTGCTTTAGGAATGACATTTCTCTGCAGACCACCAACATTTTCTCACAGACCACCAGTGGACCCTGGCCCACTGGTTGGCAACCACTGCTGTACAAGATCTGACAGGACTGACGGCTAAAATGAAATAGGTGGGATTTTTTTTTTTCCCTGTTCCCTCTGTATTCAATTTATCCGCTTGGGGTTTTCATTTGTGTCAGAAGCATCCTAGTTTAAATAAAAGGCACTCTATACGACAAAAAAAAAAGAAAAATTAAAATATAAGATACAGGTAGCCCTCGAAGGATGACCCAAATTGTGCCCAGCGTTGACATCATTAAGTGAGGCATTTGTTAAGCTGTACAAAGAGGAAGGTGTGTTAGGTATGCTTGCTACCTTGAGTTATTTATGAAAAATAAATAAAGGAGGGATATAATCTCTTAAGAAGAAATCTCTTCAGTTGCTTAAGGAAAAAAAGGAATAGCGTTCGTTGTGAGCTAGAAAATACGTGTGTGAGATGCAGAAAAAATATCCACAAACACAGCAGCCAGAAAAATAAATAAATCTGTGTTTTAAGCAAGTCAGATGTCCTTGGACAAAGGTCCTTGCCACTTGAAGTGGTTATCAGGCTACCGGATTGAGTTCAAGAAGAGGTAATTTACTCATTCAATTAAATACGCTGTCTGCCCGAATCCCAGTGGGTTATTCTTATTTGGGATTAATTATAATTTTAATCATCTTGTATTAATCATTATCGCCAGCCACCCCCAGCTGTGTGCGGCAGGCAGCATGCAAATAGAATAAATTAACAATATGACCAGTTTTAAAATTGCTGAAGAGAAGAGAAGGTGGATAAATGGTTATTCGCTCCCTTGGGGGAAATTGGAGCCTCCAGGTTTAGAAGCAGTCTACCTGAAGGCTTTAGGAAGCAAAAGCTGAACCGGGAAAACTGGGGACTCCTTCCTGCCCCAGCCTCCGATTCGATTTTTTTTTTAATTATTTTATTCTATAGCAGGAGCCCCTAAACTTGGCCCCTTGTGGACTTCAACTCCCAGAATTCTCCAGCCAGCTATTTTAGGAGGATTCTGGGAGTTGAAGTCCACAAGTCTTAAAAGTGGCCAAGTTTGGGGACCCCTACTCTATATTAGGCTGCCTATAAAATCGTTCAATTTCTCTATTCAGCCTCTTCTTTATCTCTTTTTCAAAGCCCCCTCTGGGGGGAAAAAGCAACAGTATAAAACCTTAAAAAGGATCCGTTGGGAACATTTAAAATTAAAATAGCCTTTAACTTTTAACGCTAGTTTTCCAAACATGCCTGCCACCCACCCACCCAATTCCCACGACCGTCTGCTCCATACCTGGGGGGGGAGCTTCTTTTGAATTGACCCTCGTTTTTAAATGCTTCCCCCCCCCCCCCCCCGTTGCAAATGAAACCTGGTTTAATGGCTGGGGGGGGGAAGCATCACGCGTGGGCGGGGGGAGAGCGAGAGCGCGGGAGGGGGAAGAATTGATGGTGGGGAGGGGGATTCCCCCCCCCGCGATCTCCTCTGCACGGGTGGGGGGGGGGCACCGGGGAGGGCGGCGGCGGTGTGAGCTCACAAAAGCCGCCGGGGCATCGGAGGCAGCAGCGGGCGGCGGCCCGGCGTCCCTTACTGGGGGGGGCTTGGCCCCCCATCCAGGCGGGCGATGGGCTGCGTGGAATCCAACGAAGGGCATTCCGACGCGGAGGAAGACGCGGGTCGGTCTCCCCGGGCATCGACTTCCGCGGAGCCGGAACAAAGTGAGCGGCTGATCGGCGGCGGAGGCGGCCCACCGGCCCGAAAGGGAATCCAAGGCGGGGATTCTGCTCCACGTGGGTGGGAGGAGCTTCCCGATGGGACGTTCCGGGGCACGACGGGGCGTGGCTTATTGTACAGCGGGGGCGTGGTCTCCCTCCGCTCCTGGGAACCCCATCCCCATCCCAAAATCCTCACTGCCATGGAGGGAATTATTTCTAAGCCTTCCTTTCTTCAAACCTAGCTGGCATCGTGGGAATGTGTGTGTTTCCCAACCCGGATCTGGGCCTAGCACATCTGAAAGGCTTCCAAAGGAGAGGGAATTGAGCTGGCCCTTTTATAACAGGTTAACAGAGTTGGAAGGGACCTTGTAGATCAGGGGTCTCCAACCTTGGCAACTTGAAGACTTGTGGACTTCAACTCCCAGAGTTCCTCAGCCAGCTTTGCTGGCTGAGGAACTCTGGGAATTGAAGTCCCCAAGTCTTCGAGTTGCCACGGTTGGAGACCCCTGTTGTAGGTCATCTAGTCCAACCCCCTGTTCGAGCAGGAGACCCCACACCATATCTGACGGGTGGGCAGTCCAGTCTCTTCTTGAAAGCTTCCAGAGATGAAGCTCTCACAACTTCCGAGAGCAACTTCTGATTGTTCTCACTGTCAGAAAATGTCTCCCTTATTTCCAGGTTGATCCGTTTCCATCTATTTATTCCTTGTCTGGCCTTCAGGTACTTTGGAAAATAGCTTGACTGCCTCCTCTCTGTGGCATCCCCTCAAATATTGGAAGACTGTTATCACGTCTCCTGTGGTCCTTCTCTTCCCTAGACTAGACATATTCCAATTCCTGCGATCGTATGTTTCACCCTCCAATCCCCTCATCCTCCTGGTTGCTCTTCTCTGCACTTTTTCTAGAGTCTCAACATCTTTCACCAAAACTGGTTGCTGCAGTATTCTAGGTGTGGTCTTACTAAGGTTTTATAGTGGTATTAGTATACTTGATCTTGAGTGTATCCCTCTGTTAATGCAATTTAGGATTGCATTGGCTTTTGGGCTGTCGCCGCACACTACAGTAATAGCAGAGCTGGAAGGGGCTTTGGAGGTGTTCTAGTCCAACCCCTGCTCAGGCAAGGAACCCGTATATCATTTCAGACAAATGATTGTCCTGTATCTTCTTAAAAACCTCCAGTACTCACAACTTCTGGAGACCAGTTGTTCCTCTGGTTAATAATTCTCACTGTCAAGAAATTTCTCCTTGGTTGCTTCTCTCCTTGATTAACAGAATAAGAGAGATGAAAGAGACCTAGTCCAACCCCCTGTCAAGTTTACCTAACTAAAAACTTAACTTTAAGATAGTTCTTTGATTTCTGGTTCAGCTGCCTGCAAAGAGAAAGTCATTCCCTTCCTAAATTGGGATTTAATCTTCCTGCTCTTCTCTCGTCTTGCCAGGGAAGAAGAAGAGAAAACTCTCAATACGGAAAAAAACGGTCAGCCATAAAAAAAGGCTGGATGTGGAGAAGTCCGGGTTGGCATCCAGATCGGAAAGTGCCAAGGTCACCGTGATTTGGAGGCGTTGGTCCCTTTTCAACAGCACCCATGCTGTTAACAAGCGCCTGGAAGGAGAAACAGCCGGACCCAGCGAAAGACTTGCTCAAAGCTCCCAGATTAGCAATATCAGTGCCGAGACTGTGTTGTGACCGCTGGACAGAAGAGTTAGCTAGTGTTGCGGCAGCTCGGTTCCAACATATCGGAAGTTGTACAGCTATGGGGAATAAACATTCATTATCATGTATGTTTCCTATGAAATTGCAGGTTGTGTGCGTGGTGCAAAGGAAGCAGTCAGAAAATGGGTTGGTTGGGTCTGAAAGAATGGTTTTATTCAGTGTTTTTCAAACATGGGGATTTTGAAGCGGCATGGGCTTCAACTCCCAGCATTCCACAGCCAGCATGCTTTGAGATGGGTGGACTTCAACTCCCAGAACTCCCCAGCCAGTATGGCTGTGGGTGAGAATTATGGGAGTTGACGTCCACAATCCTAAAAGTGCTCCCATCGTGGAGAAACTTAAATCTTGTATGCATTGGATTGCAACTCCCATCACCCCCAGCCAACCTTGATGTGGTTGGCTGGGGGGAGTGATAGAGTGTCAATCCAATGCAATGTGTGGGGAAGAAAAATAAATAAAAATTTTGATCGGCTGAAAATCTGTTTTTTGTCTTCCTTGGTATTGGTTTCAGCACCTTTGGCCCGTTCCAGACTTAGGGACTTCAACTCCCAGAATTCCACAGCCAGCATGGCCATGGGTGAGAATTATGGGAGTTGAAGTCCACATCCTTGCATTGTATAAGTGCACAGGTGCAGCCTTTCTAAACATTGAAATTCTTCCTGTTGCACCACAGCAGCTTCTAGATATCGGGACACTGCCTGCCTAACTGCTGGGAAATGGCTGCTTGTCTATGGAGAGAAGAGACTTGTTGGGAGTTCAAGAGAGCCTACGCTCAAGTAAGGCTGAGGAAAGGCACTAGGCCCTGTTTGCTTTGGTTGCCTTAGCAACCATGAGGGAACGCAGTCCTCGCTTTCCCGACGCCTCTCAAAAGTCCTCCCGGGTCGCCTAGCAACTGTCCTCCCTCCTTTCCTCTCCTTCAAACGTCACCAGTAGGACGGCCGGCAGGAAGCCGCGCGAGGGTCGCGGCGCGGCGGCGCCGTGCGTGTGACGCCATCAGCTGAGGGTGTACGTGGCAGTGACGTCGGGGCCCGCCCTCTTTTCGCCTTGTTTGGCTGTTCGATGCGGAGGCCGGTGTTCGGAGCCAGCGACGCCGAGAGCCGCTCCGGATCCGCGGGATTGGTGAGTGCCTGGCCGGGATGGGCGGGGGTGGGGTTGGCCCTTGGCGGGGTTGTCCCCCCGTAAAAGTTCCCCCTCTGACGGACTGCGGGGGGGGGGTCTCCCCTTCCGCGTCACCCCTTTTCCTGTTGGTGTCCCCTCGAAAGGGCTCCCCCTTCCCCCCGCTGCTTCGCCTCGTGGGTGCCCCCTCCTATGGGGTCCCCCCGTGGATTTCTTCCCCTGGCCCCCTCCCGGTTTCTTTCCCGTTGTCCCTAGGCTGATGTCCCATGTTCCCCAGCCTGGTGGGGTGAGGGGAGTCGATGTCCCTGAGCCACTTGAACTACATCTCCCATCCTGCCCAGCCTG